GCACATAAAACCTCTGCTTTATTTGTTCAGAAGGTGAACCTCCCGCCCTCCGGAATTAAGTTTGGTCACACAAACAGAGCAGTGAGCAACAGCAGAGAGTGAAATGTGTTTAGTATTAAATCACGCTGGAGATACAAAAAAAAAAAAAAAACGTTAAATGCACCAAGTTTTGTCCTTCAACGGGTTTTGTCATCTGCTTCTGACTGCAAATTAAAAAAAAGCTTTGGCAACATCTGCACAGTAGTGATGGGTCCCACATAGCAAGATTTGTCTGGCCCAGTTCTGGCCCACACTGTGCACTAACACTTGGCCAGAAACCAGAAAGGATGGCAGCCCTTTGGTGGCCCACACAGTTTGCCAGAGGTGGTCCATGCATGGGCCAGCGCCACATAAACCAAAGCACAACTGGGCCGGTCGTGGCATGGCATCTTGAACAGTGCCATCATTGCCAGACCTGGCCCACATCCGGTTTGCAAACCACTTGTCATGCCAGCAGTGCCAGCTTGACCCCAGATCTGGCCCACACCTGTTTGCTATGTGTGGTCGATTTCAGACAATCCTGCTCTAAGAGCCAGCCTCTTGACATTGAATGATGGGAGCCGACTCCTGATTGTGAGCTTTCTTTTTTTTTGCCTTTTTTCTGTATGCCAGTCTTTGTGTTCTCTTTTTGATTTGCACATTTTAACATGTATTTTGTTGAGTTGTTTTGTTGTGTGGTTTCACAGTCGCAAATTCAAAAAAAATAATTTACTTTGAACTTTGTTGTGTAATTCAGATGGATCTTTGCTTTTAGTTGTATTTTATCATTTATTTTTGAAGCACTCTGTTCTTTGTTGAGTATATAAAAACATGTGAATAAACACAAAAAAGGAGAAGCAAGTGCTTCAAACTCACCAAACAAGGGTGTGCTCAACTGCCATGAGACGACTTATCATGACACAGCAAAAAAGAAGCAACAGCTTCCAAAACCAGGAGCACCAAGTCAGTGATAAACATTTGTCTTTAAGGAGGAATCAACAGCTTATGTTTCGACAGTACATCTTCTTCAGAACTGCTGAAACTTAAGCCATTAATTCCTCAATTACAACAAATGCTTACCCCAGTCTCTGGTGCTTCTGGTTTTGGAAGCTGTTGACTTTTTTGCTTTGCTATACAATAATTATATAATATGATGTATGTTTTTACACTAGTACTTATTCATTTTACAGATTTGGTAAGAATGTATTCAACAAAATATCGGAGTCACGTAGGAACCGAAAGAGCCGGCTCTTTTTTGTGAGTCGCTCCAAAAGAACAGGCACTCTGAAAAGAGCCGGAAGTTCCATCACTACCGCACACTTAAACATTCCAACATATTCTCCTGTTTGAAATCAAGAGAAATGCAGACAGATTGAACTATAGGCCACTGTCAATACGCACACAATTTAACTGAGCTGAGAGGCCTTAGATGCTAACACACACAGATAAGATTGTTCCTCTTGGACCTGGAGAACCTACACATCACCTCACACGACACACTCCTGCACTTTATCTTCGCAAAAGTGATCAAATAAATTCAGTCTCACACATGAATCGTCGCACAAAGTTGCTGCTTCATGTGCAGTCACGGCAAAGGAAACGACAGGCAGATGCCAACTTTTATTTGCCCGTGAATGCATTTGCAAACACACACACACACACACACACATGGCTGAGAGCATAGACTCTGTGCTGGAAGGATCCAATTTGATTTGACCTTGACGGCAGAGAGAGGGCTGGTGGGATGATGGGGGATTGAGGGATGGATGGAGTGTAAGAAATGAAGTGATGGTCTGGGCCAGATGCCTGTTGCAGATACTTGAGATAAATTAGATGACCTTGAACTGATGGAGATAAATCACAGAACAAGAGAGCGCTGCAAGATGGAGACATCTGTACACATAAAACTGGGGGTGACAGACACACATCACACACCAAAGGTAGTCCAACCTGCACACATGTGCACCTGGTGTCACATTTTACAGCCATTTACAAGTTCATTTAAAATGAACGAATACATAAAAAAATCCATTTTAAGTTGATTACAAATCTGACTCATCTGGAGCATATCCCTTAAAACTTTCAACACCTCTCAAGTGTGAATATGAATAACCCTGACTCAGCAAATGAACTGATGATGCCTCATATACAAAATGCAAATGTGATTGACTGTATCCTGCGATTAATACTGAATATGTATAAAGCTCAAATGCTGCTACATTATATGTGTATAAAGCAGTGAATGGAATCCATGTTAAACAGAATTAGTGCTGTTTTATTTAAAAACTGTGAGGATAAAAGCACCAACATCACAATCCTCCTATTTATTTTTTGTATTGGAATAAATTCCATAATATAATGATATAATATGGCTAATTATAGGATTTTATTAGTCTTCATTGTTGCAGCAGTTGCCCTAAGCTGACAGTCTGTGTCATTGAGGAATGCAATGTAAGGAAACAGTTGACAAGAGGTGGGGATATCTGCTAAAATAAACTATAATTATTCAGAATTTGAAAGTGTGTTCTGAAGATACAAATGCTACTTTAAAAAAATCCTATTTGGAGAGGACTGTGTATGCCTTTTCGCTTTGGACCTTCAATTAATTTCAGTAAAAAATGTGAGCAGAGCTAATGTAGAATTTTCAGGTCTTTTGAAATCCCACTGCCAGTGGTGGGCACAGCTAACCAAAAAGTTAGCTTTAACTTATATTCAACTACATAAAAATATGGCTTTGCTAACAATAAACAAGTAAAAATTAGCTGAAGCTAACACTAATAGCAAATCACAAAGATAACTGTCACTCAGACTGTGTCACATTGTCTCCTATAACCTGAAGGCTGGTGGGACTGACACAAACCTGTAGACGTTTGTTTGTTAGTTAGCTGTTAGCGGACCTAAACTTTTGCAAAACATAATTTAGCAGAAGCTGACTGGTCCGCTAACGGTTTTCAAAGTTAGTGAAAAATGCTAATCTGCTAAAAGAAAAATTTGTCCCGCTATTAGCTGATTAGCGGAACCACTTCCAACTGCATTTATAATCTTATAACAGGATGACTGTTTCAAAGCCACATAAGAAAAGAAAAAAACAACAAAGAAGCTTCACTACCTGTGTGTTTCTGCTTAAACTAATAGTATCCCTACCTCTTTAAGTCTGTTGTTCTGAGATGGGTCACGGTTCAACGTATTTTTAACAGTTGAGCAATAATTTCCCTACCTTCTCTTCCCACATCGTCCACTCAATAGCTTGATCTCTCTGTTCTCACAGCATCCGACTCCTACACTGTCTTTCTTTTCATCTCTCCTGCTCACTGACACATGCACTTTGACTAAATATTCCAGCAAAACCACCACATCCTCACATTTACTACCATACACGAAGGGACAAAAAAAATCTGATGAATCACAGCAGACAAAGGCAATGGCGGTTGATATGATGCAGGAGCAATCGATCAGCCCTTCGTAATCCATTTTCTGCTTCTTGGTGGTGGGAGAATCAGAGTGTGTCAGTGTGTGAGGCATTTGTGAAATAAATTCATCAAGCCGTGTACGCATTCTGTGCGTGAGGTAAAGAATTGTGATAAATCTGGAAAAGAAAGACGAGCTTGGTTTTATGCATTCTGTGTAAGCTGAGTGGAATATAAGATTCCATCAGTCATTTCTGAAGCATCATAAACGCGCTGGGGATGGCCCACAAAGGGAAGGGCGCTGATGGCGCTGATGGCATGGAAAAGGGATAGTGTGTGTGGGGGGAGGGGGTTGTGGCTGAGACTGAGGGATATGTGGGCCCCCTGCCCTGAACTTGAACTTCTAACTGGTGGGAGTTGGTGGGGTCAGAGAGGGAAGGACAGGGTCAAACACTCAGAAGAATGAAAAAGGGGGGAGAAACAGCTGAGTGACATCAATATCTCCCTTGAAGACACACAGAACACAGGAGACATTGTTACGTTACGCAAGCACTTCAATCATTTTTTTTTCTTTTCCACAACCTAAACTGGTGAATTTTGGAGACATTGAATAGTTAAGTTGGAAACTTACCAGGAATATAGGTGTCACTGAAAGAATGTCAATTGATACGTTTCCAAGGAAGCATGAATAATATATCAAGCTGTAGTTTGCTATAATAGCACCCATCAACTTTAAGTTTTAAGCTTCATATCGTTGTTTTGTTGTTGTTGTGGTTGTTTTTTCTCTCCAGTGGAGCACATCTTTTATGAAATACATCATTGGACAATACTTTATTTTGTCATAACAAATTTTGAGGTCATTCATCTTCAGATCTCTCTCAACTTTAAATCTTTCCTGGTCCCTTTTTATACGTTTGATATCAAACACAACTAAAAAAAAGAGTAAAAAAAAGTGTCACCAAAAGCACAGAAGAAAAGCTGCCAAGAGACCCTTGATGCCCAAGCAGGAAGTGAGACTACAGGCGAAAATGTGTTTCAGGAGCAGCAACACGTCACAAACTAACAGTGATGACATCATCTCTCTGCAAGTGGTCACTGCTGGTTGTATTTTTTGTTGTTAATTTTAACAAATGCTAGCCCCCAGTGTTTTTTCCTTTTAAACTCTCAGCCACCCTTTTTAGGGTCGCCTCCATCTATTCCTCGCATCCTCTGCTGCCACATCAACCATCTGCATCTCCTCCCTCGCTACGTTCATGAACATTTTCTTCCTTTGTCTTTTTCTTCCTCCTTTCCTTTCCACCTCTCCAGACTCTCTTCCACCTGCTTTCTCTTCTCACTGCAGATCAGTAATATCTGCAACCCGTCACAGTCCACGCATGGACTCCTGCCTGACCTCATCTGCCAACTTGTCCTTCACCACTGTAAAGAAGGAGCTCGGAGCTGAGGATCACATAAAACAAACTGGAGAAGTGAATGAAACGTAGCACGAGTTAAGCCATTTGGAATGAAACAAGACATGCTGAACACTTTTCAAGCAGAGTAGGTAAAACTGGTCAACCCTGCAGCTCATCCTACCTTCGTCTGGAGATAGTGGGGGTAGTAGTAGGTGTAGTGGGGGTACATTGGCTGTTGCTCCAAACGTTTTCCCATGTAGCTAGAATCCAACTGAATGTCCTGGAGGCTGGAGATAGAAGCTCGCAGGTGGGGTGCAATCCCTTCCAGCTGCTGGCCTGAATCCTTCAGGGAAGAGGGGGGAGTCGTTTCCAAGAGATGCAGAAAGAACACTCTCCTCTTGGCTGCTGCAAGTGTTGAGTGGACAGGAGAGAAGAGGGATGGACTGTGGGACAGAGAGCACGTAGGTATCGGTCTGTCTGCTGGTCTTGCAAGGGGATGGCACTAAACCTGTCCTCCTCCAGCAAGTCTGGAAAAATGATGCCAGAGCAGCAGAAGAGAGATGTTGGGAAGAGGGAGGTGAAAGGTGAGAAGGATAAAATACGGAAAGATTCAGGAAACAATAAAAGCGGGGCTGACAGTGGGGGGGGGGAAGGAGAGGGTTGCGTGTCGCTTCCTATCTCTTTTACACTCTTCAGTCTAGAATTTAGACTTCTTCTCTGTTGCCCTTAACATGCCCCTCAGTTTGCTTTTCAACGTCTCTCTCTCTCTCTTTTTTTTCACCTCTTCCTGTTTCACAGTCCGTCTTGGTCCACTCTTAAACCAGACACCGATCCCAGTGGAAGCCCAGCTGGATCCTGAAGAACACACGCTGTCCTCTGCTCTATTCTCCAAAGACAGTGAAATCAGCGATGAACTCACACATGGATGTGGAGCTGGAGAGAGAGGGAGAACAGCAGGAGGAGGAAAGAGGGTGGTCTGGAGCTTAAGCTGTGCCTGCTTTTTTTTTTGTCCTCCCCTCTCTTACTCCCTCCCTCTTTTGTTAAGCTCCGGGGATAGATAGGTAGATATTGCCGGAGCCTGGCCGTAAAGGATGAGCAAAAAAGGGAACAGTGGGGAGAAAAAAAAGCCCTGGTTAAAAACTCCTCTTGCCGAGGAAGAAGGAGCAGATAGCCTTATCCAGACGTCCACTCAGAACGAGGAAAATCCCTCCTGATCCACAAGGTGCCCCTCCAACTCTGTTCTCTTTTCTTGCCTTCCCCTTGGCATTCCCTCGCTTTCTTCTCAAGCTCTCTCTCCCTGACGGCTCGCTTCCCACTGAGGCTGGCAGCCGTCACTGAGTGTGTGTGTGTGTGAGCGAGAGAGAGAGTGTAGTGATGGTGGTGGTGTGTGTGTGTGTGACTGTAACTGAGAAGGGGAGTGTGTTTGTGTGGCTGTCGGCGTCAGCTCCACTCTGCGAGCTCAGGCATCGAGGGGCTCGGCTTCGGCGCGGCTACGCTCCTCCCTCGCTCTCCTCTACGCCTCTCTCCTTCCTCTCTGTTGTGTCTCTCCCTCTCTGTTTATCGTGGCACTGTGTGCCAGTGGGAGCGGGCAGTCCTGCCCCGATCGCAACACAAACAAGACGAAGACAGACAGACAAATGAAGGGTAGGAGTTGTGCAACATTACGAGTAGAGGATGCTAAGAGTATAAATTGGGGGAAAAGAGAGATCCACCCCCCTACTGGCACTCTATAGGTGCAGCAATGCTTTAATGCTCTTAATTCCTCATGCTATATCCATTTTGATTTCAGCACTGTACACATGTATAATTAAATCCGAACATGCGGGCTGACACGACCCATCAAAATACTCACAATGGTCCAGTCACATGTGGAGGGTGAACACAGTTAAGTGGCTGCGTGGCACAGTGACCCACTGACACAGTGCTGCCTGTTATATGATGTAACCAGGTTTAAGTAGTGCTCTTACATAAGCACAGTGAGCCATGCATGAAAAGTCTGCTCTGCCCTCTGACTACAGCTGTGTATGTGTGCGGGGTGTGTGTGTGTGTGTGTGTGAGTGTGTGAGTGTGAGTAAAAAAAGACAAGACCGAGCAGGCTCTACAAGTGCACTGTAGTGAGAAGGAGAGGGCATGAAAACAGAATAGGGGTCTCATGTCTTGTGATCTGTTACACTCGTCTAAACATGTCCCTGTGTCAGAAACACATCACTGTCTTTCTACCTTTAAGTGCTTGTCTGTGAGTTTGTTTTGTTTGTGGTTTTTTTTTCTTCGCCAGACAAAATGACATTCCATTTGTCAGAAGAATCGGACTAAAAAGGTTGACTGTCTAGTGAAATCGCACACACAAGAAATTTTCTTCATCTGTAGTTCAAAGTTACATCAGTAGAACGCAAAACTAAAATATTATAGAAATGACATTGAAATTCCTTAGACAAATGCATATCACCTGACTCAGATTATTTAATGTGACGAAATAACAAAATTATAGTTGTTTTGGTCAAACTTAAAAATAATGTTGTTTCCAATTACGTGCAATTAGAGTACACATTGTGTTGTAAGCAACCCTCAGCTACTACTGTATCAAATTTTTAGTCAATACTTGTTAAAATTACTGATGTATATACACTTTTTGGGTTGGCTAATGCCAATTAGTCATATAGTGGCCATCTTAAATGTAACTGACTGCAATAAAAATAGAGTGAGAAGCTCGGTCATCCGGGAGGGACTCAGAGTAGAGCCGCTGCTCCTCCACGTCGAGAGGAGCCAGTTGAGGTGGCTCAGGCATCTGGTAAGGATGCCTCCTGGACGCCTCCCTGGTGAGGTATTCCGGGCACGTCCCACCGGGAGGAGGCCCCGAGGAAGACCCAGGACACGCTGGAGGGACTATGTCTCTCGGCTGGCCTGGGAACGCCTTGGAGTTCCCCCGGAGGAGCTGGAAGAAGTGGCTGGGGAGAGGGAGGTCTGGGCCTCCCTTCTGAAGCTGCTGCCCCCGCGACCCGACCCCGGATAGGCGGAAGAAAATGGATGGATGGATGGACTGCAATAAACTCAGTTGTGGATGCTTATTTGTTCATCACTTTCTGTTGGGTTTCAGTCTGCTCTATTCCTCTAAATCCTTGTTGCAGATTCTGAGTGGCAGGAGCCAAGTCCTTCTTAACTGATCCTGATTCTGGCTGATGAGCTCCTGGGTACTTAAGGACCTGGAGCTCAGTTTGTCTCTGCTGGAATATTAGGATACCAACTGGTAGAAATTGACAAGTCCCCTTTCCCTTTTCTTGTGAAAGTTCACAAACCTGTAATTTCCTGTGACCTTTCAGTCCTGGCTCCTTGTGGAACCCTCTCCAGGAGCCGTCAGCCTCCTTACAACCTGCTGCAAAAGGGAAGATTGGGATCAGTCTGTGTTATTGTCCTGTCACTCTCCAATGACTCAGCGTACATCTGCACCTGCCACTGCCACCTTGGATCCAAATAAATGTGAGTAAACTCTGCCAGACAAGATCACCAACTAACTCTCTATTAATAAGATACTCACCTTTTCTCTGTTTCCTTCCAGATCCTCCCTGAACCCAAACCTGAGAACTGTAAATAAAATCACTTACCTTTAACTCTGTCTGGAGTTAATCCTAGTCAATCTGAACTTTTTTGGGCTTTAAGCACCTAATTTTCTAATTTATGATACTTACTGAAAGTTTCATGAATACATTTTTGGGATAATTTGCTAACAAATAAAATAAGACAGCTCCAAGACTTATTGTTAAAGTTTTGAGTTCAGATCTTGTGTGATGAGTAGCACTTTGAGTAAATGTGAGTAACCTTCAGCTACAACCACATGACACGAAACCCTGGCACAATGGCTGTGTCTCAGCCCACGTAGATCACAGCCCACATTGGCTACACCCTACGTGGGCTATAGGACATCAGAATAGGCTGCAAAAACAGTGGCAAATTAGACTGTCTGGATGACGTATGTTTGCGTGACAGGAATGTGCTACCTTGTTAACATGGTCTTCTATTTTATGCCTTCAGCTGTCTAAAAAAATATTAATAACTTGGGTTTAGCTCCAGTATCAATGCTTGTAATTACAGTTGATTTAGCATCTCATTGCAGCAGAAATTTAATCAGCTACGTTGCTAAACTTACATTTAAAATCAAATTATTCAATCCGTGATAATTTTCCAAACTTCGCCGTAATAAAAAACTAAACTCAGACAAATAAAAAAAGAAGACGAATCCTCTGCTCTCTTTGTTTTTCGCTTTAGTTTGCGGACAGCTCAATGAATCCAACGTTTTCTGGGTTTTGTCTGCCGCATTTGTCGGCCACATGTGAGTAGGTGCCTATACAAATTGGGACAGCCAACGGCACCTGGTAGTGACATAAGCAGCCGACAAATGTGCCGTAGGTCGGCTGCAACCTCTGAATGGAGACACAGCCAGTGTCTGTTCAGTTGACGTACTTGTAGCCATTTGTTTTCTAAGTTTAGTCGTCTGTGATGGCAGATTGATCTGGCTTGGTTTCTAAACTTAATCGGTTGTAGAGGTACATCTAATGGTTATTTTCAGAGTGTTTGAATTCACAAGATATTTTGCAGACAAAATTATCTTGCATCCAGTTTAAGCCAAAAATTTTCACAAAAATCTTGAGCAGTCTGTTAGTGTTCCAAATGGGTGCTATTGGAGACCAAAATTACCTGCTAAACCAGGTGAAAATGCAACCAGGTTTTGCTCAATAACTGAATCACGACTATTACTGTGGGATTAAGTCAGTTGTCTGTGGCAGTCATCTTGAATCAAGTTTACTCTAAAAGTAAATCAATTATGTTATTCCGTTTTCTGGAAGTTTCATTCAAGTTCAGTGGATGCATTGGATACAGACACTAACAGGGATCTCAGATTAGAGAGTTTACTGTACCACTATACGTGAGCTAAAAAAGTTGAAGTGCTCTGCTTGTCTACACAGACAGCAGCTACAGTTTTACTTTTATTGATGATAAATGTGTTGAAAATATTAATTTTTGTTTTGTCTAGACCCTCCACTGTTTTGTGCTGATTGTGAAACCGCTATGATGTTGCTTGGTTTAAGCTGCTCTGAACAAACACAACAGGCAATACTGAGTAATGCGCAATACATTGATACACAATACATTCAGTTTAGTGTTCAACACGCATACATATCTGACGTACTGGTAATTATTGTACAGTAATTGCAAATAACGTGATGTCTTAATTAAGACATCTCAAATGTTCTCAAATATTTTTAATGAAGAATGACTCTGTTTGTTTGAATGCTCACTTGAGTTACATTAAAACACATCTATTTGAGACAAAGATAGAAAAAAGATGCTCAGAAAATACTACCCATATCGTTTGCATAAATGTAAAGTAAATAAATGTAGCTTTGGATTTGACAAATGGGTACGCGTGGTAACTATAATCCTTACGACAGCAGTGTGTTTTGACCTAATGAGATTTTAGTTGATCGAAATGATTTTTTTTTTTTGCTTCGTCTTCTTTACACACTGAAGTGTGAAGCAGCTCTGGCTCAGATCCTGTAACATAACATCATTATAACATCGTACCTAGAGGCAAGCCCAGACTAAGCTCCATAATTCACTGAGTTTCTTTTTCATTTGAAATGTCTTATTAACAATTTGACAGATTGAGTTATTTTACTCCTCTTCTTGCAAAATGTATGCTTTTTATGTACTAACTACTTTTATTTCACTTAACATGGGAGTTTTGCGTTTCTGTTGCATATAAAAGAAACTAATACAAACTACTTGGGGTAACTTTAAAAACAGACTTTCTGCTGTGTTTGCACCTTTTGTTTACACAAAATTGGGGTCATCCCTATGTTCCCTAGTATGTATTTTGTCCTAGGGTTTATAACTGAAATCATGAATGGTGCTTGGCTTCACATTAAAATGTATTTTGAAACAAATGAAAAACATACAGAATTGCAGTGCAGGCACTGTACCAGGGCACATAGGGATGACCCTTTTCTCTGTACAATACCTATTCTTTAATTCATTCATTCATTCATTCATTCATTCATTCTTCCATTCATTCATTTTTTAAACTACATTTGAAAGGGAAGTCAATTATCTTTCATGATTTCCATTATCAACCTTAGGACAACATAGGTCATAGATAGGACAATAGAGAAACATAGGTATGGACCCCTGAAAATTTGGTGAGGAAAACAAAAATGTTTAAACACACTGTCCAAAATAAAGATTTTATCAGTCTTAGTTTGGATTTGAAAAAAAAAGACAACAATAAATTTCCTTCATTCATGCTCACTATCATTTTGTGCTCTAGAACTAATATCATCTGCCTTGCTGTCCTGTTGCTGTCAAACTTGAAATTGTGTTGAAATTGTCATTAAAGGGGACATATATTGAAAAATCCACTTTTTTAGCTTTAAATGCATTTTGTTGTGTACTCTCTAAGAATGAAGAAAATCTGAAGTTGGTCTGTTGGTGCTGCATATATATCACAAACAAAGCTATATTCTTTAGGTTATCAATAATGTGGATGGTCTCGCCCCCTTGTAGCATGAAATGCTTATTTCAATGTTTTTTTTTTTTTTGTCAAAATGTTTGACTGGAAAAACAAATGCTAACAAAAAACTCCCAAAGTAGTACAAACAGAACCACCTGAGCATTATGGTGGCCCTCAAAGGGCCATTTGTAATTAACTTTGTTTTATGTTTAACTTTGACTAAATATGTCACGTTCCTTGCCTCCTTGCCACGGTTGAGCACAACTAACACAAAACCATTGAGCTCTACGTGGTATTTTCTGCATGGAAACTGTGTTTTCTCACATCTTCTTATAAACACTGAAAAGTACTACATGTACGATTGTCTAAATGTGAAATAAATAACACAGAAATACTAATTAAAGTAAGACAAGTTGACTCATTGATGAGACGTGGTAAGTAGATTACGTCTTAAATTCTGAACTCTCCAACTTTCCTATAAGGACTTCCCACTGGAGAGGTGTTCCAGTTCAAACTTACAATTAGTATAACTGGGATGCAGCAAAAAATAAATAAATCAATAAATAAATAAATAAATAAATAAATAAATAAATAAAAAGACAGCAAAAATGCAGTGAAAATCAAATTATTACTTGGCAAATTTTGCAGGTAAAATAATCAACACGCATTATGGAAGACATAGTTTTTGGTCAATGCTGGCTTTACGCTGTGGAAAGTTGTCCCAATTCCCCATGTGGCCCACAAAACCCCCAAAACAAAGGCTGCATCTGATCTTCCCGGCCGAGGATGTACCAGGATTAATTGAGCCATCAGTAAACTAAACAGGAAAACAAATATGGTACATAAATAAAAGTGCAACACAACATTGATGAGATGTAAAGGGTAACAAAAAATGTTTGCATGGATCACTGCGAATTGTTTTAGAATGGAGTTGCTTAAGATCAGAGCAATCAACTTTGGTGCCTTTTAACTCACTATTGGCTCGTCCCTAACAAATCTCTGCAGACAGCAGTTTATTGATTTAGTAATACGCCCCTCAGTTAAAACTGAACATGACAAACCTCCAACAATACGTGACTAAGTCAACAACTGTGCACAGCTGTAGCAGTCAGACTGAAGTCATCATCTGATAAGTATTCAAGATAAGCATAAATACATAACATCAAGTATGACCTTATGCTAGAGGTGATGCCGGTTCCTGCATCAGAACACACTCTCATCAAATGAAAAGCTGCCTTAGATTACAGAGCAGCTGCAGTACAGAAACACCACCTGCAGTTAAAAGAATGTGAACAGAGAAATGATGCATGCTCACTGCTCCTCCAGGCTGCATTTAAACACAGATCTGGCTGCTCTGAGCTAAAACGCTTACATGCACACTAAGACTACTATTAACATGCTGTCATTTAACCGGTATAATCAATGCTGTGTTAACCATCTTAGTTTATTTTTTTTGGCATGCACTCATTTAGTAATTAACACTGAACACCAACGACAGCTGTTAAAAATGCTGCAAGGAATATCAGTAGTTTTGTCACACTTGGTACTGCCATCCCCAGTTATACACACCCCTACTGAGAAGTAGGCTGGAACATTAAAGTATGGCAACCAGAACCAAAAGAAAAAAATATATAAAAAAACAGGAAAATAATTATAAAAGGGACTTAGAAAGAATGATCAGATTGAGCCATAATCGGGTTTACATGCAGCACAGGAATGTGTATGTAAATTATTTCATTAGTAAGGAGCGGACACATCTTAAAGAGGACTCAAGTGGATCAAAAGGGTAATCAAGGGTAGCATTTGGCAGTCAGTCAAACAGGTATGGAAGGTCACCAGACATAAAGGATGTTCTGTTGTTGCAATATACAGCATTACCAGCACTTTATAAAGTTTGTTGGAGGTCTTATGTAACCCTAACTAACCGGGTGGTGGAACTGTGCAAAACATAACTTGTGGGGCAGAGGTCTTCAACCCTGTTCCCTGTGGCCCATTGCCATGTATGTTTTAGATCACATGCCAAACTCAAGGCCTGTGGGCCAAATGTGGCCTTCAAAGATATATTAATGGCTTTAA